TATTCCAATCGGTATAAATTTTAAAATGACGTATGTCAATTTAAAATCAACATAGATCATGAATCGACGTATAACATTCATACATGATAAACTCCGTCTTTTTTTTTTTTTTTAAAAAAAAAAAAAAACTTTTTTCGATATCCAAATCCTATTTTTTTTTTTATCAGAAATAGGTATTTTTGGTCTTCTAACTTTATTTAATTTTCCAACCTCTTTTTATATCTTAACTCTTTAACACTTGATAATTGTAATATGATTTTAAAAAATAAGGTTCTAAAAGAAGTCTCAATTAATTATTTACGACTGCTAAAGATAGTTATAATAAACTTTACATGTAGATATACTTCGTGGTTTTCGATTACTAATGAAGCTTCTAGTAAAAATGTAACAAAATACCTTTTACTTTAAATATTTATGTGTATAAAATAGTTAAAATTTCTAGTAAAGATCTACTACATTTTCGATTAATTATTAATATTAGGTAGATATCAGACAATGGGTCTTTTGGGTCACTTGGACTGTAAAGGTCTTCATCTTTGTTGTTTGCAATAACAAGTACGAGTAGTTTGGTTTATTCATTTTCCACTAATGTTGGTGACGACTGAAAAAAAAACTTTAATTTACGCTTTCTTCTAGAGTATGCACATAGTCATACTATTTAGACTCAAATTTGATGAAAGATTTTTTTTTTCAAAATTATTTGAGAACTGCCGTACTTTGATATTTCTCTTCCTTTCGAGTATTTGAATAATTATGATTTCTCTAGGTATCATTTTAATTATAATTATTCTATTGACGTATAGATATATTTCGGTTCATTCGAGTAAAAATTGCTTGAATGCTTGACTTGACCACGTCTCCACGCTTTTCGTGTTTAAGTATTTTTTGAGATCCACCATAAGTATAATCATAAATGTATGCTTTAATTGTCCAAAATCATTTCCAAGATTGTTAAAGCTATTTATATTATTTAAATTTTTGAAAAAATATTAGGAAAAATATTTCAGTATTTATTCCGGTTTGTTACTGGAGATATCCAACATGCAAATATACTACACGTATTGTATTCTGATTAACTAGCAGTACTAATTTTAATAGAGTAAGAAAAAAAAATACATTAAATACATCATTACTATAAAATATAGTATTTTTTTAGAACCTTAGTACGAGAATAATTTTTTATTTTTTTTTTATTCCATCAAGATCAGTACCACTGATTTTGATGGAAAGTAATTTTGCTACAACAGATTATCGTAATAATGAACTTTTTCGAGTAAATATAAATTATCCGACATCTTAATATGATCTGACTGCCAAATAACCAAAAGTTATTTGGCAGCCCGATCATAGTAAGACATCATTATTGGAACTTCCAGAGACTTCCAAAGTCGAGAATTTTAAGCCAATATCCAAAATTGACATAATTGCATCTATCTTATTCCCGGAACACCTTCTATCGTCATCTTTTAGTGAACGGTTGTGTAGAATTGCGGAACAACGCAAGGTCTTTTCACCCCTATTTAAACATAAACTGAGTATAATGTCTAACGGGTATGAAAAAAGTATCACCTAACACATCAAAACTATTTTAACTTACCAGTTACATTTCAAAAGTGTTCTATCTTTGAACAACATTATATAGACGCGAGAGACAAACCTGATAATATAATCGTATTCAGTTTGTTCTTCTTTGAAGAGATTCCTGCCATCTGGGAACTGTTCCCGGCTATGATAACGCAGAAGTTCAATGAATTCAATGTTAGCACAAATCAGTTTACAATACAGAAACCACTCAGGATATTTACAATATTTTCACCAATTCCAGAGACCGCTTCTTCCATTTCGTATTTCCCTCTGCGCATAACTTTTCACGTTCTGTCATTATCGCACCGCATATTTTTTTTTGCGGTGTTCTGATAAAATAAACACATCTTTGTTAAATATTGACTGATGTCATCCGCTCGTCCATCTTGTTTCATATCTTGATTAGCTGAATCTGAAACGAAATCGAAATCTGAAGATAGAAGAGTTGTATCTGGAGACACCAAAAACTTTTCTATATTGTTAATTATATTGTCCCATTGATGTTTAAAGAGCTCTCGTGCTTTTGTCCCGGATGAACTGATTGTATTAATAATGTTGTAGCGCAATAAGCTGTAAAATGAAGTTAGTAATCAAAAGCATATAATCAGATATATAAAAATTAATTACATACTCCTGTTTATGAATCTCTTCAATGTATTTTGATGTTTGACGCCATTTCTCCATTTCTGACCGGATACAGATGTTATCTATCACTAGTGACACCATCCTAATATGAAAATTTAGGGATTAATAAATAATATTCTCAACTGGTATTTTACCATCTACATTCCAAGTTTCTATCCAATCAGTCCAGCCAGTAGCCTTAAACATCAGGCAACCCAGTAAGCTCCCTGTGCCCCGATTGGACCAGTGCCAGGCCAGCCAGTAACCTTGAACATCAGGCAACCCAGTAAGCCACCTGTGCCCCCAGCACTGATTTGTGACTCGAATGACAAAGACCCAGTAAGCCTGTCGCGCCACTTTTTCCATTTATATTCCTGATAAAAAAATTACTTCCCTTTCTGTAATCGTCAAGAAGAGCTCGCGCTCTTTGCTTCCGGGATCCTTGCTCGTGGTCGAAGATACGTTCGAGAGTTTTTATGTAAAAGTCAATTTTTAAGTCGAATGGTTCTATGTCAGTTGACGCGTTCAAGAAGTCTAAAATATTCCACTTTGAGGATTTGCGGTTGAAGTATTCCATGGCGATTAGTAGAGTACAGAACGCAAACACGTTATTTATACTGAAAAAAAATCACACATGTGATATCGTAGACAGAAGTTTGTCTGATTGGCTGGTTTTTTAGATCGACATTGGTTAAAAAATTACCAGCCCGATATGGGCAAAACTTTTATACGTAAAATGTTTTATTAATACATATTACTGCCTTCTTGCAATACTTGCGATCTCCTGAAACCTGATGTAAGCATGAGATCAGCGTCAGGTTAAATTTATCTCCCGTGAGCGATTCACAAATTACTAATTTATTACCCGAATGAAAATAGCAATGATAATATTTCTTTTATCAGAAAGATAAAAAAAAAGAATTCACATAATTCAGTTAATGTAAGTAATTGATTCGCTCGATAATTCTTCTAGGCAGTTACCGGAGAGATAATACACCCCTCTAGGTATTTGCATGATACAAGAGCAACCAAATTAACAGAAGATAAGTTATTTTCTAGTAATTCGTATATGACCTGACCATCTTGCAACTTCTCTTCTATCCAT